CCCGCCCCCTCCCTCCTCGAAACAGAACGACCTGTTATGGAATTTGAACGAGCCTGGTAAGCAAAGCGAGAGAAGGAAAGCCTGGAAAATATATATTGCAATGTGTTCGAACAAGTTAATTATTATATTACGAATTAACAGCTGTTCCAGACATTCCAAGTAAACGGATTTTCGTCAGATAAAGGCGGATTTGGATCTACCTGAATTTATGGATATATAAAATCTACATAATAAACATAAGGTTAAAGTAGAAAATACTAAGAAAATTAAGGAAAAAAAAAGTAAAAAACTGGGTAGTGAGGAATTGCAATGCCGGGCGAACCCAACGATTTTGCTGATGCCTGTGAGAATTTCAAAAAACACAAGAAAATAAACTTTATTTAAAAATAATTAAAGCCGAGGTAGGATGACTAGCCGAGAGCAGTACAACGCTACTGCTATATCACAGTTACAGTAATATCGGGCTGCTCTTTCTACTTTCTAATCATTTCATTTTTATAGCACAAGGCGAAATTTGAGTCAGAAGACGGGATATTTGCATATTAAATGAAAGAAGCAGCGCAGATGAGGTAATGAGGAGTGGACTGGCCAATTTATTCTCTTATCCGTATCTCTTGTTTTGCCCCTTTTACAAAAGAAAAGACAAATAACAGTAGCAAAGACAGAAACTGATGGGACTGCATTAAATACTGAAATTCAAATAAACGTAACTAGACGTTCAGTAACCTGCGCAAAACCTTCTCTCCACCTTAAGTGTTGCCTACGTGAACTCCCCCCTCCCCCTTTATCCTTTCATCCAAAGCACGCTCTACATGAAATTGCCATTATTGGAAAATGTAAGATTGGCCAATATACGGCTCACAACTACATTAATGATGGATGCTGTTCGGAGAAACAAAAGAGTTTTTTTAGACAGACTGCTGATATGGTACCTGGGTGAACTTGCGCACCAGGCATGTTTTGCCAACGCCAGCATTTCCAACCAGTACAACTTTGAACAGATATTTATAGTCCTCCATTTTGTGACCCCCGATTGAGTTATGCTGCAGCAGCACCACGATTTCACACTGCCTCACTGAGCAACCTGAAAGCACATAGTATATCAGCATTACAGGCCGAAAAAAAAAAACTTCGCTTTTCTCACGTTCTTCTCATAAAAACTGTTTACTCATAATTGGCATATAATGATTTACGTGTAAATGTTAATCTTTTTTTTCTCTCCTCTCTCGCTCTACCCGTTCTCTCTCTCTCTGATTTCTCTCTCATTCACATATCTATCTTGCAAATTAATCACATGACCGCTCAGAACATGGTGGTTAGGAGGCTGTACTGATGATTCCCACTCCTGCCCACGCGCATTGCTCAGTCTGTGTTTACAGCTAAGGGATGAAACAAAGACTCCCTACATCATAAAATGTCCTTCGGCGCACATGGCACTTAAGACCAATTCTTCCATTTTACTATTTCAGCTAAGTGCCAACCCGTGTTTTCACTTAGCAACTGCACTATGCACCTCTTCGGGGGACGGGGAAGGGGAAGGGTACCCGGTGAATACCATTTGTGGTTGGCAATAAGTGGTGCCTGTTTATTTAAAGTTTTTTAAAGTATTCCGTCACAATTTTGATAAGACTGAAATTATAGGAGGGCAGGTTACCTCGACAAGAACTTGTTCAGATCGCAACTATCTTAATACTCTGATAAGGCTAAAAATTATCTTGATAACTTCTGATATGACTCTGATAAGGCTATCCTGCTACGATGTATGAAACTATCCCGCTACGATGTGTATAATGCCCCGATAAGACTACGATGAGAATAAAAATATCCTGATAAGAAATATGTGGACCTGATAGGGCTGAAACTATCCTGCTAAGAGATGCACAGTGCCTCGATAAGAGTATAATATGAATGAAACTATAGTGATAAGGCGCAGATTATTTCGATAATACTAATGATAAGATACCAAAACTATTCTGACAAGACGCGAATTATTCTGATATTACCCAAATTATTTCTTAAACAATTTAATCTATTTTGGAAAAAATTAGAAAATAGGAGGTTTTCTGGACAAAACAAGAACTGTTTTGATAGGAACTGAACTATAGGACCACACTCAAACTGTTCTTGTATGAAATAAACAATCTTTCACATATAAATCAAACTATTACATTAAATAATAGGGAGGACAGTATCATGTATAAGAAGATATTTTACGATGCAGTCTCCGTGTTTCATCCCTTAGCTGTAAACACTGACTGAACGCAGCGCGTGCGTGGGAGTGGGAATCATCAGTACAGCGTCCTAACCGCCATTTGTGAGATGAGTACGTGACAAATTGAAAAATCGACTGTTCTGTTGCGATTCAAAGTGGTAACACGATAATTTCATATTAATTTGATATGGCTGAAATACTCTGGTAAAAAAGTATCCGCGCTTGAACCATCTGACGACAAAAATGTCTTACACATTGCTTCATGTCCGCAAAAAACAGCTATACCACTGGCAACAATAATATCCTGGGCGCACAAACCTCCAGACCCTTGGCGTACCCC